TAGGTACCTTGGGTAGCGTATCGTCATCTGCAAAATCTCAAGGGGTTCTTGGGAAGATGAATTGTGTGTTTGGAACAGTTAGTGGCATGTAGTAGCATTCAGTACGTATTAACTATTTAGAGTAGTCAGGGATGAGTTTTGTGTTGCCTTGAAGAAATTATTTCTCTTTTGTGAAATAGAAATAGATTGACCTTACAGATGCCTTTGGCTCCAGAAGTTACTTGTATCTGAATCCACATGTCTGTATGCTGAGTATATTGTCTGGAATGTTAAGTAGAGGAAAAGAACTGACATAATGACACTATAGATACTAGGAAATTATTAGTTAGGTTTAACTCTTTAACAATACTGAAATGCTGTGAGTTTGGCTTAGAGTTCTTTTTTATGAGGATTGCATTTATCTGCCATCTAATACTAATTTTTCCTAGAGATCAGTAATACAGTCTGTATGTGTTTTGGATATGACCATTTCCCTTTCTTTGATAAAATTTTCTTTATCTTGGCTACTTTTAATCACTGTTGCAAGTCTCCTGAATTTCTTGAGTCCTTAAATTTTTTTTATCAAAATGAAGAGAACACATTTCATGTGTTTCATAGGTACAGTTCTAGGAAGATAGTAATACTTCCTTACTTCACCCTCTCCATCTCTCAGTCTCTCTCCTTCCTTTCTTTTTTTTTCTTTAATTTTTGCAAAGACATAATTTCAGTACACTCTATAATCACAAGCTTAACTCACCACTAACCATAATATTCAACAAGTAAAAAGTAAGAAGACCACAGTTCCACCGGAGTATAAACAAGGGCTAACAGTGGCAGTCATATCACAAGATGTCTGTTTCATTCCTGTACTTTTTTTTTTTTTTTTGTATTCTGTATTAGCTGCCACACATAAGAGAAAACATTGATATTTGTCTTTTTCAGAATGGCTTATTTCAGTAAGCATACTGGTTTCCAGCTGCATTCATCTTGTTGCAAAGGGCAGCATTTCATTCTTTTTTATGACTGAGTAGTATTCTGTAGTGTATATATACCAAGTTTTATCCATTCATCTGTTGATGGAAAGCTGGGTTGATTCCATTTCTTAGCTGTTGTAAATTGAGCTGTAATAAACATGGGGTTACAGATAACTTCTTAATATGCCGATTTTGTTTCATTTTGGTAAATTTCCAGGGCTGGGAAGGCTGGATTCATATGATAGATCTATTTTCAGATTTCTGAGGAATTTCCATGCTGTCTTTCACAACAGTTGTACTAGTTTACTTCCCTGCCAGCAGTTCATTAGAAAATCTTTTCTCATACATCCTTGCCAGCATTTTTTGTTTTTTCGTTTTTGGTGATAGCATTTCTAATTGGGGTGAAGTGAAACTTCATTGTGGTTTTTATTTGCATTTCCCTGATGGCTAGTGATCCTGAATGTCTTTTCATGTGTCTGTTGGTCATTTGAGTTTCATTCTTTGAAAAATGCCTATTCATGTCATTGTCCATTTCTTAACTGAATTGTTTGTTTTGTTGTTGAGTTTCTTGAGCTCTTTATAGATCTTGGATATTAATCCTTTATCAGTTGTATAGTTTCTCCCATTCTGTAGGTTGCCTCTTGACTATGCTGAGTGTTTCCTTTGCAGTGCAGAAGTCTCTTAGCTTGATGTAATCCCATTCATCTGTTTTTGCTTTTATTGCTTGTGCTTCTTGGGTCTTTTCCAAGAAGGCTTTGCCTATGCCTGTGTCTTGCAGAGTTTACCCAACATTTTCCTGTAGCAATTTGATGGTATCATATTGTAGGTTTAGATCCTAGATCTATTTCGAGTTGATTTTAAGGTGTAAGGTAGGGGTCTTGTTTCATACTTCTACATGCATAGATCCTATTTTCCCAGCACCATTTGTTGAATAGATCGTCTTTTTTCCAGGAATTGATTTTAACTCATTTGTCAAAGATCAGTTGGTTGGACATGCATAGATTAATTTCTGGGGTCTCTATTCTGTTCCATTGGTCTACATGCCTATCTTTGTGCCACTATCAGGCTGTTTTGATTATAACTGTCCTGTAGTATGTCTTTAAGTCCGGTATTGTAATGCCTCTGGCTTTGTTTTTGTTGTTTAAGATTGCTTTAGACCAGCACTGCGGCTCACTAGGCTAATCCTCTGCCTGAGGCACTGTCTCGGTTGCTCCTCTTCCAGTCCAGCTCTCTGCTGTGGCCCAGGAAGGCAGTGGAGGGTGCTCCAAGTGCTTGGGCCCTGCACCCGCATGGGAGACCAGGAGGAAGCTCCTGGCTTCTGATCAGTGCAGCACGCCGGCCACAACGCGCCGGCCGTAGCGGCCACTTGGGGGGTAAACCAATCGAAAAAAAGGAAGACCTTTCTCTCTGTCTCTCTCTCTTACTGTCTAACTCTGCCTGTAAAAAAAAAAAAAAGATTGCTTTAAATATTTGGGTTTCTTGTGTTTCCGTATGAATTTTGACATAGTTTTTTTCTAAATTTTAGAGAATATCCTTGATATTTTGATTGGGATAGCCTTGAATCTGTAAATTGCTTTGGGTAATATGGTGTTTTAGTACTGATTCTTCCAATACATGAACATGCATGATATTTCCATTTTTTTGTGTGTATATGTGTCTTCTATTTCTTTTTTTAATATTTTGTAATTTTCACTGTAGTGTAAAGTTGATCCTTTACCTCTTTGGTTACACTTATTCCAAGATATTAAAATTTTTTTTTGTGGCTATTGTGAATGGTACTAATCTTCCAAGTTATTTCTCAGCCATAGCATTACTTGTGTAAACAAAAGCTGTTGATATTTTTTTTAAAGATTTATTTTATTTTATTTTGAAGACAGAGTTACTGATAGAGGTAGAGCCAGAGAAAGAGAGAGAGAGAGGTCTTCCGTTCCTCTGTTTCACTCCCCAAATGACTGCAGCAGCCAGAGCTGAGCTGATCCGAAGCGAGGAGCCAGGAGCTTCCTCCAGGTCTCCCATGTGGGTACAGGGGCCCAAGGAGTTGGGCCATCTTCTACTGCTTTCCCAGGCTATAGCAAAGAGCTGGATTGGAAGAGGAGCAGCCGGGACTTGAACCAGCGCCCATCTGGAATGCTAGCACTGCAGGCTGGGGCTTTAACCCACTACGCCACAGCACCAGCCCCACGGCTGTTGATTTTTGTGTGTTGATTTTATACTTTGCAACTTTACCAAACTCTCTTATGAGTTCCGGTTGTTTCTTAGTGGAGTCTTTTGGTTCCCTTATAGATAAGATCATGCCATCTACAAATAGGAATAATTTGACTTCCTCCTTTCCGATTTATATCCCTTTGATTTCTTTTTCTTGCGTAATGGCTCTGGCTGAAACTTCCCAAACTTTATTGAGTAGCAGTGGTGAAAGTGGGCATTTGTATTAGTTTTAGTCTATTTCACTTGAGTTAACTTTTTCATACTTCATGTTTTTCACTTTGTTTTTATTCAGTTCCTATGACTGGCAGGATAGTGGTCCAGGCATTTATCACTTTCCCTCTTGAATGATAAGGCATTTACTATGTGACTTTGGCCATTTTTATTGAGGGTTTTTTTGTTTGTTTGTTTGTTTTTCCTAAACAGAGTTCTGCATCTTCACTTAGTTTTTAGAGTCGGAGTAGAAAATTGGTAACGGGTGTGTAGGGGACAGATGAAGAGAGACTGTTGGCAGTAAGCCATGAAGGAGCACAATGTAGATAGCGCAAAGTCTATCATGATTATTTGGTTTTAATACTAAAGCTGATCTTTGATTATTTGCTTTGTCTATACTGCTTAATGGAGCAGAACTTCAAATTTGCCCACTCCATCATGCAAGATTGTTTTGTCTGGAATTAATACTGGAGTAAGATGGCAGTCACTTCCAGATTCTTCTCATTACCATTACCGTGTATCTGTTAGCTTCTAGGCTGACAGCAAGTATTGCTGTAAAGTCAGAGGAATGCAGAGTAGAAGAGTCAGTTTGGCCAGCTCACTAACTCATGTCTTTGCTTCCCTACTTTCTTCAATTTCTTTGTTTAAATTTTGGTGAGCAGAGGACATGAGGAATCACAAGCAGTAGTCCATCGTATTACTGATTTGATGAAGTTGATGCAATTTTGAAATCGTGACTTAGGGTCCAGTGGTGTCCTCTGCCACTTTTTCTGTGAGCAAGATAAGTTACTTGACTTCACTTAGACCTAATTTTTTATCTGTTTAATGAGAAGCATCTCAAAGAGTACTTTCAGAGGTTTAAATAATTTTATTATGAAAGCTAATACAGACAATTGCTATACTTTTATTATTACTGATAATTTTCAGTTATACAGGATTATAAATAGGAAGTTTGGAAGAGTAAAATTATTCCAAGATATAGTCTCAGTTTTTCACCTGCCAATTAAATATTTTTATAGCTGTCAGACATTAACAAATTAATATGTGTATTTCCCTCCTTCTGTTTTCTGGAAGAGGAGTTAATGATCAATTTGATTTAAAAAATTAAAGACCCTGAAAATTAGTGGCTAAGAAACTAAATCTTCAGCTAACCTTAGAATAGTAAGTAGGTCCTGAATAATTGATAATTAAGCATTTTGTTTTTCAGAGTTGCTTTTTTTTAAAGATTAGATAGGTTAGTTAATCATGGGAGAGAAATGTATTTTAGTGATAAATCTGTTCAGTGGGTGGTGTACCCTAGAGAAGTCATTGAAAAGAGATATAAGTGAATACTTAAGGTTAGAAATTTTGGAAGGTATGATACTGATGAGAGCGTAGTAACTGGGACACCATTAGCATTCCATCAGTAGTCGGTTGGTAATGGTTGGGATAGTAATGGGCAAAACAGGCAGTCTCCTGCCTGTTAATTTTTAGCAGCATTCCAGTTGGAATAATGCAGAAGTGCTTTCTCTCTCAATTAAATGGGACCTATTTTTTTAAAAAAACGGTTTTTAAAAAGTTTATTTATTTATTTGAAAAGCAGAGTCACAGAGGAAGAGAGAAATGGGTGGGTGGGTGGGTGGGTGGCAAGAATCCAGGTACTCAGGCCATCATCTGCTGACTCCCAGGATGTATTAGCAGGAAGCTGGATGGGAAGCAGAGGAGCTGGTACTTGAACAAGTGGTAGCTTTACCTACATCATCAGGACTTCCTCCCCATGGGCCTATTTTTTCTTTTTTTTTTTTTTTAATGTTTTCTATTACTTGCACTTCAAGACTTTTTTTTTTTGTTAAGATTTATTTATTTATTTGAAAGTCAGAGTTACACAGAGAAGGAGAGGCGGGGGGGGGGGGGGGGAGGTCTTCAATCTGCTGTTTCACGCCCCAGATGGCTGCAATGGCCAGAGCTGCACCGATCTGAAGCCAGGAGCCAGGAGCTTCTTCTGGGTCTCCCATGTGGGTGCAGGGGCCCAAGGACTTGGGCCATCTTCCACTGCTTCCCCAGGCCATAGCAGAGAGCTGGATTGGAAGAGGAGCAGCTGGGACTCTAACTAGTGCCCATATGGTATGCTGGCTCTGCAGGCGGCGGCTTTACTCGATATGCCACAGTGCTGGCCCCTATTTGTTCTTTTTTTTCTTTTTCTTTTCTTTTCTTTTTTTGACAGGCAGAGTGGACAGTGAGAGAGAGAGACAGAGAGAAAGGTCTTCCTTTGCCGTTGGTTCACCCTCCAGTGGCCGCCGCGGCCGGCGCGCTGTGGCCAGCGCACCGCGCTGATCCGATGGCAGGAGCCAGGTACTTCCTCCTGGTCTCCCATGGGGTGCAGGGCCCAAGGACTTGGGCCATCCTCCACTGCACTCCCAGGCCACAGCAGAGAGCTGGCCTGGAAGAGGGGCAACTGGGACAGAATCCGGCGCCCCGACCGGGACTAGAACCCGGTGTGCCAGCGCCGCAAGGCGGAGGATTAGTGAGCCGTGGCGCCGGCCCCTATTTTTTCTTAACACTTTTTGTGACAGGCACTCTTTTGGTGATCTAGTGTAACTCTTCAGAATGATTTCTTAAATATAGAAAATAAAATCAGATAAACTAATTATTGACATGGTTCTCAGTCGTGGACTTTGTGATGCTGTGGGTTAAGCTGCTGCTTGGGATGACCACATCTTGGTCCATATATCCACTTCTGACGCAGCATCCTGCTAATGCACCTGGGGGGTAGCAGATGATGATTGGGGTGCTTGAGTTCCTGCCACCTTGTGGGAGACCTGGATGGAGATCTGGGCTCTTGGCTACAACCTGGACTAACTCTGGCTGCGGAAGGCATTTAGGGGAAAGAAGCAGTAGATAGAAAATCTCTGATTCTCTCACTGTTACTTTGCCTTTCAAATAAATAAAAATGAGTAAACATATATTAAAAAAGCCTTTAAAACATTATCAAATTAAAACATTTCTTAATATATGAGCTTTATTATAAAATACATTAAAAACAGAAGCTAGAGGGATGGGCATTTGGCACAGCATTTGAGACAACACTGAGACTCCTGCATTCCGTATTGGAGTGCTTATGTTCAAGGTCTAACTCTTTCCAGTTCCAGCTTCCTGCTAATGTGAACACTGAGAGGCAGCTTTGATGGTTCAAGTACTTGAGTCCTTGCCACCGATATGGGAGACCCAGACTGAGTTCTTACTCCTGACTTCAGTCTAGACCGGCTTTGTCTATTGCAGATATTTGGGGACTGAACCAGAAGGTGGAAAGTCTTGTCTCTCTGCCTTTCAAAACAAACCAAACCCAGGATCTAGAATTGGGTGCAGTTATCTTAAATTCAAAGTGCTGATGAATGCAAACACTATTTTGACAAGTGGAACCACTATAATGACGTTAAAAGATCTATGATTTCTATTGGTATTGCTAGTCATAGGTATTGTTAGCACTACTTCAGTCTAGCTTACATTAATGACCTAAGGAAATGTTAAATTTGTTAGAAGTAAGTGAAATAAAAGAAATTATTGTTTTCCCATCCAAATTCTTGGACCCTGTGAGTTCTTTCTTTAGATGTTTTGGGGATCTGTTATCTCAGATTCAGAACCCTTCACAAGAATTTCCATGGTCCAAATGGTGATACTGTTTCTGTGTCATCCTTGTCTCAAATATATAGGCAGGTTGTAGATTTTATTCCCATCACTGTAAAGGAGATGCCATTGTAGAAAATTTTATTTTCATGTTTAAGATATTTTCTGCTAGCTTTTTAAAATTAAAAAATAGTAGATCCACATGATTTATTTAAAGATAAAAAATTTAATAGCACAAAAGGTTATACATAGAAAGGAAGCATCCTTCTTTCCTTAGGTCCGCAGACACTCAGTAGTGGCAGTGACTACAGAGAGAGAGAGGAGGGGGAGAAGTAAGAGAGGGAAAGAATTATAGAAAATTTCTAGATAAATGTTTTTTAGTTGGTAAAATGGCTAATATTTCTGTTGTACTTATTTTACGAGTAGTATGTTATCTTCAGGTTTCTTAATCTGAAGTTGAAAAGTCAGTCAGTTTTGATTTAAAATCTTTAAAATCTCTCAGGAATTGAGAATTGATAGATTGTAGCTTTCTGTTGGATTTTTTTGAGTTTGGATAGCCAACTTTAACCTGTTATTCCTGTGTGGAATTCGATTCTTAGTAAAGCCTTGAATTGTGCATAGCATTTTGTTTATATAATTATGTATAAAAATAACAAAGTCAGTTTAACTATTGATTAAGAGACTTGTCATTTAGTTTTGCCAAAATTTATAGCCTCAAGTAGCAACTTGAATTGGAAGAGCAACAACAGGGTTTCTTGCTAAAGGAAACTATCTTATTTCAGATAATATGTTGGAAAGCCAGATATTCATGCAGACTTCGTTCTCTGACGTTCACTGTTATTTCTGATTTTAATTAGTAGTAGCTCCAGGAACACAGCGACTGTGTGTGTGTTACCTTTATGTTTTCTAGCATGTGGTACACAGAATGGCATATGGTAGCTTCTCACTAAATATTTGTTGACTGAGAGAGCAGTAACCTGCTATATGCTTTATACCCAGAAGGAGTAAGATGTGGTGCCTTTCTTTAAACAACTTATAATCCCAAAGGAGAGTGAGGAGTTGTACAGAGATAACTTCGTATGAGGTGTAATGTGTTAATGTGAAAGTCATGATTGCATGGAAATTTATGTTATGAGGGACATGATTTGGGCCAGAGTATATATGAATTCAGGGAATAGCTACAATACAGTATTGAATTAATTTTTACAATTTTGTCTTACCAAGATTTCTGTATACCAGAATGCCATGAGGTGTTTTTTTTTGGGGGGGGGGTAGGGGCATGAATTTTTAGATGTATCTCATTACTTTCATGTAGAGAACTATGTGGTACCCAGTTAGAGGGCTGAAATATTTCTGTAGTTTAGTGTAGGTTAGTCTTTCTGGACATTGCAAAATTGTGTTATAAACAGAGCCTATTAAGAGTTCTGAGAAGAAATTGTTTTGAAGGGTGGCTTAAAGAAACAGTGTTGCTTGATTGTTATACAAGTAATGTATTGATTTTTACTTATTTTGATTTAAATTGCAGGAATCACTTTCCATAAATTACAAGGTACTTGGAAGAAGGTTGTCTATACTCAGTCGGGAAGAGATACCCTTCAGCTTTGTTTGAAATAATTCAGCCACTTCAGTAGAATTCATTGGGGCTTTCAAAATAACACTAAAAGAAATATCAAAAGATCTAGGTCAGTGGTTCTCAAACTTGAGTGTGCATCAGACTTAGACAGGAAGGCCTGTTTAAAACACAGATCACTGGGCTTGCTAGTGTCTGATTCCGTAGGTCTAGTTTTCAGTTCCCAGATGATAGTGATACTGCTTGTCTAGGGCTTCAACTTTGAGGACTACCAGTTTAAGAGGTAGAGTAGTGACTTTTACCATGGCCACACATCAGAATATCTGGAATATTTTATAAAATACACAGGTGGGTTTTATCTTGATATACCAACCAATCACAATTTATGGGTGATTGTAATTCAGTAGGATTGATTAATCTAGGTAGAAAAAGAATGGCATATGTGCCCATAATTTGTGTCTTCTGCCTTACCATTTTACCAGTCCTTTTGGTGTTTCTTTCCTTGTTCTCTTAATTCATTGGCTTTCAGACTTTTTTTTGACTGTGATTTATGTGTATATGTATAACCACAATGAAGTGCACATTGACAGACACACATATACATGCACTGATACGTGACTTTTCACTATTTGAGGTAGTTACCGTCTATTAAATCACCATGGGCACAGGATTACTGAGTACTAAGCTATTGTTCCTAGGGGAAATACAAAGTTAGGTTCCTATGAGCCTCTGGTCCCCAACAGCTTTTTTAACTGATTAATACATGTCTTTGTTTTATGTGTGTTTCTACTTAAAAATAACATATTGTTGATTCATGGACATTGAACTCACAGCCAGCAGCACTGAAACTCACATCTGAATGAAGCTTATGTAATGTTTTCTCTGTAAGACGAGAATCACTTTGTCTTTGTGCTTTGGAACACTTGACTGCACTTAACTACCCTTGGAGGCCCCTATCAACAGTGAAATCACAACACAAAAGACATAAAAATAGGAAAACATGGCACTAGATAAAATGTGAAGAGGCCACTTATTTACAGCATAACAGCTGAAACAAGAAGTCAGAATGTCACCTTAATTTTACTTTTGCTGGGAACATATGTGTTTGGTGATTTTGTTCTATTTTTTTTTCTACTGTGAATGTTTGAGTGACCACAAAGATGCTGCTAGTATTAATTCTGGTGTCATAAATAAAAATTTAGCAAATAGGTGATTTTGTAGATAATGAAGATCAACTGTACTTGTTTTATCCCATTTTAGTTCTGTTTTGTTAAAAATAATTTTGGTTGGGAGCTGGCGCTGTGGTGTAGCAGGTAAAGCTGCCACCTGCAGTGCTGGCAACCCAAATGGGCGCCAGTTCAAGTCCCAGCTGCTCCACTTCGATCCAGCTCTCTGCTGTGGCCTGGGAAAGCAGTGGAAGATGGCCAGAGTCCTTGGGCCCTTGTACCCGTGTGGGAAGACCCAGAGGAGGCTCCTGGCTCCTGGCTTTGGATCAGCGCAGCTCTGGCTGTTGCAGCCAATTGGGAAGTGAACCAGCGGATGGAAGACTTCTCTAAGATTTATTTATTTATTTGAGAGTCAGAGTTACACAGAGAGAGAGAGAGAGAGAGAGAGAGAGAGGTCTTCCATCCGCTGGTTCACTCTCCAGTTGGCCGCAATGGCCGGAGCTGCGCCGACCCAAAGCCAGGAGCCATGAGCCTCCTCTGAGTCTTTCCATACCAGTACCGGGGCCCAAGGACTCGGGCCATCTTCTCCTGCTTTCCCAGGCCATAGCAGAGAGCTGGATCGGAAGTGGAGCAGCCAGGACGTGAACTGGCGCCCCTATGGGATGCTGGAGCTTCAGGCTAGCGTGTTAACCCACTGCGCCACAGCGCCAGCCCCAATAAATAAATCTTTAAAATAATTAATTTTGGTCATGATGTATGAAATTGATTTTATCTTTTACTAGTGTTCCAACCCACAGTTTGAAAAACACTACTCTAATTAATTAGTTCAACCACATAATAAGTGCCACGTTATATTAAACTATGTATGGTGTGTGTGTATTCTTTTCCCCATTCATTTTGGAGTATACAGGGTTTAATCTTGCTGGAGAGCTAGAGTTTTCTTTCTTTTTTTTTTTTTTTTTTTGACAGGCAGAGTGGACAGTGAGAGAGAGAGAAAGAGAGAGAGGTCTTCCTTTGCCGTTGGTTCACCCTCCAATGGCCGCCGCCGCCAGCGCGCTGCGGCCGGCGCACCGCGCTGATCCGATGGCAGGAGCTAGGAGCCAGGTGCTTTTCCTGGTCTCCCATGGGGTGCAGGGCCCAAGCACCTGGGCCATCCTCCACTGCACTCCCTGGCCACAGCAGAGGGCTGGCCTGGAAGAGGGGCAACTGGGACAGAATCCGGCGCCCCGACCGGGACTAGAACCCGGTGTGCCGGCGCCGCTAGGCGGAGGATTAGCCTAGTGAGCCGCGGCGCCGGCCGAGCTAGAGTTTTCAAGGTACGTCATCATACTTGTATTGATTGGATTGTGGAGTGTGGTGGTGATGGCAGAAGACTAGAGACAAAGCTAGTTACAAGTACACTGGAAATGTGATTTCTAGCTGTATATTTTCAGCACACTTAATGACAGTAAAAACAATTTGGATATCTTGTGAAAAAGAATTTCTTTTAAGTCCTCTTTATGTCAGGGTTTCTTAACTGAGGTCTCTAGTATGTAGATAGACTTAATTGGGTCTGTGAAATTCTTTGGAGTTTTTTGTTGTTGTTGTTGTTGTTTGTTTGTTTGTAACCATAGTTTTTATGTCTATTTCCCCTTTCCTTCCAGAAAATCATCAGGCTTAGAGTAATTAACTGTGGGGACTCTTAACTGGGGAGTAAATGACAGAGGGGGTTAGGAATCATATTTTAGTTGATAATGCAGATTACCCTTTTTAATTGTTCATCTTCATTGCATATGAATCACAGAGTCCTGAATTTTCTTAGCAGGCTTGGGAGGTATTTATAGCTTTAGACTGAATTTACACTGATGTGGAGAGCAGTTTTCCTTACTGATGATTAATTTTATTTATTTTTATTTTTCCATCCACTGATTCACTCCCCAAATGGCTGCAGTGGCTGCGGCTGGGCCAGGCCAAAGCAAGGAGTTGGGTACTTCATCTGGTCTGCCATGTGGGACTGTGTTTCAAAATGATGGCATAATTAAAAGTTGCCTGACTTGGGCTGGTGTTGTGGTGCAGTAGGTTAAGTACTGCTTATGATGGTGGCCTCCCATTTGGAAGTTCTAGTTTGAGTGCCACTGCTCAACTCCATACTGATACACCTGGGAATGCAGTAGAGGATAGTCTAAGTACTTGGGCCACTGCTGCCCATTTGGGAAGTCAGAATGGAGTTCTTGGCTCCTATCTTTGGCCTGGTCCAGACCTGGCAGTTGCTGCCATTTGGGGAGTGGACCAGTGGATCCACATTTTGTGTGTGTGTGTGTGTGTGTGTGTATCTGTCTCCCCCCCCCCCCCCGCCATCTCTTTCTATATTGCTCTGTTTTTCAAATAAATAAGTTTTTTTTTTTTTTTTTAAAGCAGTTGGCTGATTTGTGTTTTCCCTTTATTACTGTTAGGACATTAAAGCAGCATAGGAAGGTGTTTGTTCTGTAGGGTGGTAAAGCAACACACAATTATCACTGGAAATGTGTTCAGCCACCTGACCATATTTTGAGATAATTTTTCTGAAAATCAAAAAAATGAATCCCCCTAAAATCCAGTTTGTTTTATTCTGGTTTTGGAAATACTGGTTGAGGATCTCTCTCTCTCTCTCTCTCTTTTTTTTAATAATACAGTTTTTTAAAGATGTATTTATTTATTTGAAAGGTAGACTTACAGAGAGAGAGAGAGACGGGGTGAATGGAGAGACAGAATCTTCCATCCTCTTATTCGCTTCCCAAATGGCTGCAATGGCTGGAGCTGGGCTGATCTGAAAGAAGGAGCCAAGAGCTTTTTCTGGGTCTCCCACATTGGTGCAGGGACACAAGTACTTGAGCCATCCTCCGTTGCTTTCTCAGGTGTATTAGGGAGCTGGATCAAAAGTGGAGTAGCCAGGACTTGAATTGGTGCCCATATGGGATGCCAGTGCTGCAGGTGGTGGCTTCACCTGCTATACGACAGCGCTGGTTCCCAGGTTGAGTTATCTCTTACCCATAATGCTTGGGATTAGAAGTGTTTTTGGATTTTGCAATTTCAGATTAGTGATACACAACCTGTATCCTTATAACAGTATCCTGTGTGCTCATTTGTAGAAAATTCAGACTATGCAGGAAAAGTGTGAAGAAGACACAGACACCACTTAGAGATGTTTATGGCCAACCTTTGGGTGAATATCTATCCTTCCATGCTTTTCTCTATAGGTTTACATGAGGAGTAGGTGTCTGTACATGTATGTGTGTGAGGGAGGGAGATTTTTAATCAGTTCCCCTCAGTGAAAAAAATCTGTGGAGAGAATCTCTTGTCAATTATTGGATTAGTCCTAGTCAGTGTAGACTGTGACATGGGTGCTATAAGAAAATGGCAGTTTGCATGTGGATCATTGATTAAAGGGAGCTTGGGAGGAAAGAATAGTGGTTGCATAGAGCAAGGGAATTTAAAGCATTGATATGATCATTAAAGAAATTCCTGTGGGCTCAGCATCGATTCTAATTTGTTACTGCTGTGACTGGGGGTGGTCTAGTGCATATTTTCATTGCATAATATAGTGAGTTTCATATTGACAGTTTCAGCCTTTAAAAGTGTTGCTGGTTTGTGAATCAAAGTTAAGGTGACTCCCCCCTTTCTCAAGTCACTAGGTACCTCAGGTTTTTTTCCTACAGTTTTTATGATTAGTTTTAGTGTACGCTGCTCTGTATATCCAGATTTTTCACTCAAATAGGTATCAGTTGTAAAAATACCATTTTTTGGTCTGAAACTCATCTTTTCTCACTGGGATGAGATGCCACCATCATAATTTTGAAATTTTTAATTAATTGTTGTCATTCATATCATTAGAAGTTATTCCTCTATTCAGCTGTACCCATTAACCATCCTCTCTCCAGGTTCCCTCCCCCACGCCCCTTCTAGGCTCTGTTTTCTACTTCTGTAACATCAACTTTTTTAGATTCCACATGTAAGTAAGGACATTCAGTATTTGTCTTTCTGTGCCTTGATTTATTTCACTTAACACAGTGTCCTCCAGTTCCATCCATGTTGCTGCAAATGACAGAATTTCATTCTTTTATGGGCTAAATAATCATTATGTATATATACCCAAACCTGTTTATTCATTCATCCATTTATAGAAAATATATTTTTTAAAAAATACATCCTAGAGCTAGTGTAATTGACCACAGACTGTAGATATTTAAAGTGTACATTAATTAAAATGAACAGTTGACATATGTGCATTCCTGTGAAACCATTACCTTAGTTAGGATAATGAATGGATCCCATCCCTCACCTCCACGATCTTCAGGCAAGTACTGATCTGCCTTCTGCCATTGTAGATGAGTAGTGTGCATGTTTTAGAAATTTGTACAAATTGGATCATGCAGTATATACTTTGTTCTGGCCTGTTTCACTCAATATTTAATTGTTTTTTTGAAATCCATACATATTGCACCATGTATCAATAATGATTTCTTTTTATTGTTTAGTAGTCTTCCATTTTATGGCTATTTCACAGTTTGACCATTTCCTCTTCTGATTTTTTAACAGTTAAAAATGAAGCTACAATGAACATCTGTATGTGGACATCTACATTCATTTATTTTGGTTAGATAAATTCCACCTGAAGGTGAAGTGGCTTGATTGTATGGTAGTTATATTAGCCAGGTTTAACTTTTTCAGAAACTGTCAAAATACATTCTAGAGTGGCTCTCCATAAAGATAACCTTTTATTGACTCATGTACATGGTTTAGGGCCTTGCTACTCAAAAGGTTTTGTGTGTTATTTGACATCTGCTGAGAGTTTATTAAAATGCTGAGCCTTAAGTGTCTTCTAGATAAGTGAAATGGAAACATGCATTTTAAAAAAAGATCCCAGGTGGCTGGTGTTGTGGCACAGTGTGTAAAGCTACCATCTGTAATATGAGCATCCCATATTGGTGCTGGTTTGAACCCCTGTTGCTCAGCTTCTGATCCAGCAGGAAGCAGCAAATGTCCCAAGTCCTTGGTCTTCTGGTCTCCCAACCCCAGCTGATGTGGCCATTTAGGGAGTTTAACTAGCAGATGGAAGAGTTGTCCCCCTGATGCTCTCTCTATAACTCTGCCTTTCAAATAAATAAATATTAAACAAAAAAAATCCCAGTTATTCACATGCACATTTGAATTTGAGAAGCTCTAGCTGAGAGATGGAGTTGTCAGCGTTTTTTCTGGCTGTAGACTCCTGAATTCTTTGATATGATTCTGTAAAATTCTCAAATAGGGATTGGGAGTTGTAGGATTGTTTTGTTTTCTGAGTCTGAAATATAATACTGATAAATGTTAGTCTGTTTTGAATGTTCTCTAATTTTCATTGTTGAGTGAATATTTAAGAGTAAACTACATTGATGTTCTTGGTGTCACTTTTCTGAATTAGTCTAGGTGTTTGAAAATCTTGAAGTCAGCATTAGGAAATTCTCAATTCAAAACAAGTTCTCAAAACTCAGCAATTAAATATGTGGACAAAAGAGTAAACATTGTGGAGTAAGGGTTTTACAACTTATAATTGAGTTCATTCCAAAAATTGATTTGTAAGTCAAACTTCCTGTAGTTAAAATGCTTACGATAAAATATTTCTACACGATAAGACTGCTTTCACTTTTATATTTCTGTTTAAGATATCAGTTACTCAGTCCATTTAAGCCTCCCACTCCCACCTTTTCTTCAGACTCCTCCCAGGTAGTTAAGATACTGAACCCATAGGTGATTCAGTTCTTTTTAGTCATTTACAGTTTAACATAGCTGTTCCTTTACGAGAATCAACTCTTCACCCTGCTATTAAATTCTAAAAGGAATTTATTGCAAATGGGCACTTAACTATTTGGTTGATAAATGTCTTTAAAGATGATTTTACCGAAAAAAAAAAAAACAAAACAACAAACTTTAAAATGTGTTTACTTGATTTTAACTAAAAGCTTAAATGTGTTTTTGGGGATGCAAAGTTAATGAAATTATATAACATTTACAAAGACAGTTATGTACTTAAAATATTTAAGAAATATATAGTTGCATGTTCTTCAGGTTGGTGTGTTCTGAAATTGTGGTGAAAGACCAATCTTTTTTTTTTTTTTTAAGATTTATTTTTATTTATTTGGAAGTTACAAAGAGAGGTGGAGACACAGAGAAAGTCTTCTATCTGCTAGTTCACTCCCTAAATGGCTGCAATGGCCAGAACTGAGCTGATCCATTGCAAGGAGCCAGGAGCTTCTTCCAGGTCTCCCACATGGGTACTGGGGCCCAAAGACTTGGGCCATCTTCTGCAGATTTCCCAGGTACGTTAGCAGGGAGTTGGATCAGAAGTGGAGCAGCTAGAACTCAAACCACTGCTCAAATGGGTTGCTGGCACTGCAAGCCAGGGCTTTAACCTGCTGCACCACAGCTCTGACCTCCGCGGAAGACCAATCTTAAAAAAAAATTTTAGAGGCATTACTTGGTGTAATGGTTAAGATACCACTTGGGATGCCCATAGTCCCATATTGGAGTACCTGGTTCAAGTCCTGTCTGCTCCTGATTCCAGCTTCCTGCTAGTGTGCAGTCTGGGAGGCAGCAGATGATGGCTTAAGTGCTTGGGTCCCTGTCACCCATGCAGGAGTCCTGGATTGAGTTCCAGCTCCTAGCTTTGACCTAGTGCAGCCTTGGCTGTTGACAGCATTTGGAGAGGGAGTCAGTTTTTGGAAAATCAGTTTCTCTTTTGAGTAATAAAATAAATAAAAATAAAAAAATGTAATTTACTGAGTACCAATACTTTTGTCAAGTATAATGAAAATACATTACTAGGAATACTAAATAAAAGGGAAAATAAAAGACCACAGTTTGAATAGTGCTACCTTAAATTGTGTTTTAAACTGTTCTCAAAGTATATAGTCTCAAATCCACAGCATCATTATCCCATGGGAACTTGTTAGAAATACACATGGTCTGGTTTTAATTTTAAGCTGAAACAGTAGCAGAGAAAAGAAAACAAATTGTCTGATTTCATCTTAGACTACTGAATTAGTTAGCTTAGCACTGTGTTGAATCAAGGCTTTCAAGGGATACTGAAGTACCCTAAAATTTGAGGGCTACTGTTGGACTTTCATTCTACATGCTGATTATCTGGGTTATTTATTTATTTAAAAGACATTTTAATTTTAGCTGAAAGGGCAGAATTACACAGAGCGAGGGAGAGAGACAGTGAAAAATCTTTAACCTGGTGGTGCATTCCCCAAATGACTGTAATGACTGGGGCTAGGCCAGGTGGAAGCCAGGAACCTGGAACACCATCTGCATCTCCCTGTTGGGTGGCAGGGGCCCAAGCCCTGAACCATCATCTTCCACTGCCTTCCTAGGTGCATTAGCAGGAGCAGCAGGGACTCACTCATGAGACTCTGGTGATGAAGGCGTTAGCTTAATCAGCTGCACTGCAATGCTGGCCCCAGTCTGGGGTTTTTAAAGTAGTTTACTTTTGCTTTTAACTCTTATAAACCCTAAACTTTCTTTGAGTGCCAACTATGTAAGTAAGACTAAAAGACAAGGTTGGTTATAAAAAATATTTCAGAGATCCTTAAATAGGAAAAATGTAAAAAGATTGATATAGGTGAAATATGTGCTAAATGAAAAGGAAGATTCTGATGTTTTAGCTACCACAAGTATTGGTCACATAATTAAAAAATCTGTTGATAAGAGTCAAGAAGCCTGATTTTGCTATTGCCCAGATAAATGCACATGTATATTTCAGAACTCTTCGTAGCTATGAGATGTCAGGGCTCCCAGAGCCAGTGAATCAGACTACTCTAAGTTGGATGTTTGACAGGTGATTCAGTGCATATTAAAAGAAATTACCATGCTAATACGTTTCAGAAATTTGTCTCGATGATCCTGGCTTTTTTCTTTCTTTTTTAAAGATTTATTTACTTATTTGGAAGGCAGAATTACACAGAGAAGGGAGAGACAGAGTGAGAAAACTTCCATCTGCTGGTTTACTTCTCAAATGGCTGCAATGACCTGGGTTGAGCCAGGCCAAATCCAGGAGCCAGGAGCTTCTTCCAGGTCTCCCACGTGGGTGGCAGGGACCCAGGGACTTGGGACCTTTTCCACAGCTTTCCCACAATAGCAGAGAGCTGGATAGGAAGTGGAGCAGCTGGGACTTGAACCAGTGTCCATATGGGAAAATCATGTGATCTGTTAAAAAAACAAGGTGATTTTTACTTCTTTCTCTCTCAAGTTGAATGTTCTCCCACTGTTTTCTCTGTTGTTTTTGCCTACCTTTCTGCTTCTCTCCATTTTGTCTGCTGATTACACTGACTAGAACTTTCATATATAGTATTGTAGTGTTACAGTTGATATTCTTGTTTTCTTTCTAATTTTAGGAGAAAAATACTTAGTATTTCACTTAAATGTGATATTAGTTGTGGCTTTATTTTTGTAGATGCCCTTTAGCAGATTGAAGAAATTCCCTTTTAGTTTTCTGGGAATTCTTAGTATGGATGTTGGCTTTTTTCAGATGCTGTTCCTGAGTCTGTTTCAGCTTTTCTTTATAACAATGTATTAGCATGGTGAATTATTGCTCTGAATGTAAGCCATTTCTGCATTCTTAGGATAAACTCCATTTTAATTTAATGCTGGATTGTGTTTGCTAACTTTTTGGGTAGAGTGATTTCATCTGTATTCAGAGGGATATTTGTTTTCCTTTCCCAATGTCTTTTCCAATTTTAGGATCAGAGTAACCCTGGTCTAATAGAATGAATTGGGAAATATTTCTTCCTCAAACATTGGTGAAATTCACCGGCAAAGCCATCTGTCCCTGGAGTTGGTGTGTGTTTTTTTTTTTTTTTTTTTTTTTTTTTGTAAACTACAGCTGATTTCTTTAATAATTGCAGAGGTATTCAGGTTATCTATTTCTTCCTGAGTGAGCTTTGGTAGTTTGTTTCTTTCAAAGAGTTTGTCCTTTTTAGCTAAATGTATCAAATTTATTGGCTTAGAGTTGTATGGAACAGTCTCTGAAATGATGTCACCTGTTGCCAATACTGCAAATTATTATCACTTTTTTCCCCCTCCTCGATCTGGCTAGAAGCTTATCAGAGATTTTCTTAAAGAATTGCTTTTGATTTCATTTTTTCTCTATTGATATTTCTGTTTTTATTCATTGATTTCCTCTTTGATCTTGATTTGCTTACTTTTGGTTTAATTTTCTTTTTTACAGCTTTCTAGAGGTAGACATGAAGGACATTGATTTCAGGCTTTTATTTTAATATAGGTGTTTAGTGCTGTAAGTTCTTCTGAGTGCTGCTTTATTGACATTTTGTAAACTATTGTGTTTTCATTTTTATGTAGTTCAAAAATGCTTTCTGATTTTCCTTTTGGTTTCTTTTTTGATCCATGTGTTATTAAAAAAATTAAAAAAAAAACTATGTTACTTGGTTTCTAAATACTTAGTGATTTCACAAAGATGTGTTACCAATTTATAATTTAATTCCACTGTGTCTGAGAATATACCTTGTATTACTTGAATCCTTTTAAATTATTGTTTAAATATGTAGTATGAATCAATATATTCTGTCTTGGTGAGTGTTCTTTGTAAATGTGAAAAGAAGGTGTAATTGCTTTTGATATGTGGAGCAGTCTATGAAATGTAAAGTTAGTTGGTAGTGTTGTTAAAGTCTACAGTATTCTTGCTTATTTTCTCTCTCCCAATTATATTTGTTTCTGAGAGCTTAATATTAAAGCATTGGACTGTTACTGTGGATTTGTCTGTATTTACTTGAAGCCATAAATTTTTGCTTTGTGTATTTTGAAACTCTGTTTTTAGTTGCATAAATGCGTTGAGTTACATCTTTATGATAATTGGCCCCTAGCATTACAAGATATACTTCTTCTTCTTTTTTTTTTTTTTTTTTTTTTTGACAGGCAGAGTGAACAGTGAGATAGAGAGAAAGGTCTTCCTTTTTGTTGGTTCACCCCTCAATGGCCACTGCGGCTGGCATGCTGTGGCCGGCACACCGCGCTGATCCGCAGCCAGGAGCCAGGTCCTGGTTTCCCTTGCGGGTGTAGGGCCCAAGGACTTGGGCCATCCTCCACTTCACTCCCGGGCCACAGCAGAGAGCTGGCCTGGAAGAGGGGCAACCGGGACAGAATCCGGCGCCCCGACCGGGACTAGAACCTGGTGTGCCGGCACCGCAAGGCGGAGGATTAGCGGTGTCAGCCAAGATACACTTTTTTATCCCTGATGATATTCTGTGGCATGAAAGCTATGTTTGATGTTAACATGGTGGTCACTGTCACTGTTTGTTGACTAGTGTTAGCATAGTATACCTACATCTATAGTAAATTTATGTACTATTATGCACATGAATAAGTAAATAAATAAATAAATATTTGTGCCTTCAAATTTAGTTACATTTCTTATAGGCAGCTTATAATTGAGTCTTAGATTTTTTTTCCAGTATGACAGTCTTGCCTCTAAATTGTGATGTTTAGAGCATTTATATTTAATATTTTTATATGGTTATGTTTGACTCTGTCATCTTACTGTGTTTCTTCTGTTCTTGTTCCTATTTCCTCTTTTTCTGCCTTCTTTTGAAATAATGACTACTTTTTATGATTCTTTTTACATATTCAATTTTGCCTTCTTGCTTGCTGGTTATTTTTGTATTCCTATAATTGTCCTTGAGCTTTGTTTTGGGATGCAGTTAAGTTACATGGAAGTAGTTTGATGGTTTTGTTCTTTTTTTTGTTAGGGAGTTAGTGGTCATTCATGGGTTAATTATTTTCCAGTAGTGTGTCAAGTCCTCCCCTCCCACCCCATGCCTAATACTCTGTCTAGTGTTCTTTGAATTTGGGCACCCCTCCCATACCCAGTCTTACTGGCAACAGGCACTACCTGGCCCTGGATGCCTTCTAACCCTTTTGGATGTTTGGTTGGTTCTTTTATTTTTTTATTTTTAATTATTTATTTGAGAGGCAGAACTACATAAAGAGAGTAGAAGAGACAGATGGCTTGAGCTGGGCCGATCCGAAGCCAGGAGTCAGGAGTTTTTCCAGGTCTCCATGTGGGTGCAGGAGCCTAAGCACTTGGGCCATCTTCCATTGCTTCCGAGGCCATTGGCAGAGAGCTGGATCAGAAGAGGAGCAGCCAGGACAGAAACTGATGTCCATATGGGGTGCTGGCGCGTAGGCTAAAGGGTTAATGTACCATTCCTGGATGGTTGGTTCTTTTTCCAGCTTTGGGTTGGTTCTTTACAGACCTGTGCTGATCAGTACATTGCTGAATACTGCAGGTCTTGAGTTCTTTCTTGAGTAGTTCTTTCTTTTGGTACTCTGTCCTGTAAATGTTAGCTACCTTGGTCCTCTTGGACTCTCTGATTTCTGTGTCAGTTCATGAAGTCTACTGGGTTTTATGAAGTCTTCTCCAGTATACTCTCCTGCAACATGGTATAGAAACTCTTTTAAGACAGTCAAGTGGCGCAGTTGTAGGGCTTACCTCATTTGTTTTCCTTTTCTTAAAAAAGAACACTGTTTTTCATTGCCTGTTATTTGTAGTCCTTTAAAACCATTGTTTCATCTATTTTGTCAGGTTATTTTGGTTGCTTCAGTAGGTTTGGTTTTAATCTTTTTTTTTCTTGCAATTTTAAAATTGAGCTAAAATTTATATAACATGAAATTCACTCCTTTAAAGTATTCACTTCTTTGTTTTTAGTATATTCACAGTGTTGTCCAACCATCACCACTATTTTGTCCAATCATCCCAAAAAGAAACCCCATCTCTCTGGTTTTTTTTTTTTTTTTTTTTTTTTTTTTTTGGACAGGCAGAGTGGACCTTGAGAAAGAGAGACAGAGAGAAAGGCCTTCCTTTGCCGTTGGTTCACCCCCCAATGGCCAGCGCACTGCACTGATCCAAAGCCAGAAGCCAGGTGCTTCTCCTGGTATCCCATGCGGGTGCAGCACCCAAGGACTTAGGCCATCCTCCACTGCACTCCCGGGCCACAGCAGAGAGCTGGACTGGAAGAGGAGCAACTAGGATAGAATCCGGCACCCTGACTGAGACTAGAACCCAGGGTGCCAGCGCGACAGGCGGAGGATTAGCCTATTGAGACGCGGCCAGCCGGCCGGCCAAGAAACCCCATCTCTTTAGGCCGCCCATGAAACCCCATCTCTTTATGCACGTCCCACCCTATGCACCCCACCCACCAGTCCTTGGCAATCACTAATGTACTTTCTATGGATTTGTGGATATTTCCTACAAAGATGTAATTCAATATATGAAATTTTTACCTGACTTCTTTGAGTTTAGCATAGTGTTTTCAAGGTTCGTCCATGTTGTACCATGTATCCATACTTCATTCTGATTTATGGTTGAATGATACTACATTGTATTTACTTCATATTTCTTGGAGTGGAAGTCATCTGCAGAAGCTTTATAATTGATTCCTGCTGCCGTTTGACCTTTCCAGTTAATTTTAATATGCTACAGGGGCTGAGAGTGAGGTATAGAAAGTTTGTGCTAGAAAAGCTGCAGGTTTAGTTAGAATAGTATCAGGACTTTCCCAGGAGTGTTTCCTCTGCCTTCTTTGTCTTCCATCTCTTCTTTGATTCTGAAAGAACTGCAAGATCAATGTAAGTGATTTTAAAGGTTGGTATTGTTTGCTTTTTGTGGTATGTGCCCTTGTAGTAAATTGCAGAAAACACTGAAAAGCTTAAGACAAGAAAATAAAAACTACTTAGAATTTCTCAACTTAGTATTTTGGTACATTTCTTTCCAGCATTTTCTGCCTTTTTAAAAATTCTATGTCTATATATGTTATCACCTGTCATTCTACTTCTTTTCCTATATTTGGGATTATTTTGGATATTTGATTTTATTTCCTGCCTTTTCTACCTAGTGTATAAGTGGTTTCAAACATCATTACATTATCTTCCCAAATGTGTTAAATGATAGTTTATTATATTCATGATATGTGTGTATATATATATATTTCTTTTAAGATTTATTTTATTTATTTACAAGTCAGAGTTACACAAAGAGAGAAGGAGAGGCAGAGAGGAGAGAGGAGAGAGGAGAGAGAGAGAGAGAGAGAGAGAGAGAAAGTCTTCCATCCACTGGTTCACTCCCCAATTGGCTGCAACAGCCAGAGCTGCACGGATCCAAAGCCAGGAACCAGGAGCTTCTTCCTGGTCTCCCACACAGATGCAGGGGCCCAAGGACTTGGGCCATCTTGTACTGCTTTCCCAGGCCATAGCAGAGAGCTGGATCAAAAATGGAGCAGCTGAGTCTTGAACTGGCGCCCATATGGGATGCTGGCACTGCAGGCAGTGGTTTTGCCCGCTATACTGCAGTGCTGGCCCCGATATGTATATATTAAAATACAGTTGCTTCAGCATTAGAGATAGGTTGTTTCAAGTTATAACTGTTAGAAAGTTTAGTAAGCCTTAGAAACATATATTACCAAATTCTCCTCCAGAATATACCAGTTTTCACTTTGTCATTCAATTTTGAAAGTACCTGTTTCTCTTGTCACAGTTCCATCAGCATTGTGTATACTGTCCTTCCAACATTTTTGTTTCTGTTTTGTTCATATCACAGTTTTTCTGAATCTTTAAACTTTATTGAAGTATAATTTCATAAAATACAATGCATTTATTTGATACACAGGTCTGTGGTTTTTTTAAAATTTATTTATTTATTGGAAAGGCAGAGTTACAGAGAAGTAGAGGCAGAGACAGAGACAGAAACAGAAAGAGGTCTTCCATCCACTGATTCACTTCCCAAATGGCTGCAACTGCCAGAGCTGGGCCGATCCGAAGCCAGGAGCCAAGATCATCTTCTGGGTCTCCCACGTGAGTGCA